AGACATGTCGAACTGTTATTATGATCACATCCATCTCAAAGACTATACGAGCATATGTATGCTAGGAATATATGTTTCGGTCGATAAGTCATACGTATGCTCGAAGAAGATAAAAACTAATTATACAGAGTATTATTATAATGGTTGTACTCGTTTTTTTAGACAAACAAAAGCGTGCGAAATTGTCTATTTGAATCAAGATAAATCGAACTGCAGTTAGTTCAACTCGAACAAGTTTTAATGCTATAAATTGTGATTAATTTTGTGCTAACAAGTTCAGTAAAAGTAACGTAGTTTATATATTAAATCAAAACACCACGAAAAAGCAATTTTACTTCACTTTTGACAGGTTAATTTTGTTAATATTCAATTCCCGTTTTAACTAATAATTTGCGGTTTGTCTAATGACAAAGTTGGGCGCGATACGAGAGATTCTATGGGCTGTCAGCCTTGCCCCAAACACTGAGGCGCAGGAATGTGTCTCACGGCCCATTAAAACAATTAACTTGTAAGCACTTCACTTATCGAACTCGTACAATGAATGCACCTCCATACCTCCAGGCACTGAACGAGATATAGATCATATTTTCAATTTCATGAGTAACGAGCAATTTATTTAAAAGTCAACCGAAAACTTAAAATGGGCAGAAAGCAAAGTTTTGATACTCTAGCATGTTTATAGACTATCTATTTGAAGCAACATTTGGAAAGTCTAGAAATAAGAATTCAATTAAAAAAAGATTAAAGGACATTTTTGATAAAACTCATATCCCATCAAATTAGTCAAAAATTCAATCAAAAGAAAAGCTCAGACTTTCTTAATGCGATCCATTCAATAATATTTGCTGTAATAGTTCGCACTTTTCCCTCGCCTCGATCGGCTCACTTTATAAAAATAATTTTTGAAACTTTCAATAATTATAACTAACAATTGAAATCAGCTGTGATTGTTATCTGTAAAGTGTGTAGGTTGTGTGCGGAGCGGAGCGTATTATTAGAATGTAATTGACGTCTCGAACAGCTCATTAGAACCTGTGAGAGGAAAAACACAGGAATTACAATAAAAAAAAAAAAAACTGTCTCGTTATTATTTCTGAGAAACGATATAGCTTATTAAAAGAAGTTTATGATTTTAAAGGTTATTTCATGAAATTTAAATGCACTTACAAATAATATAAATAACAAATAAATATTTATTAAGCTGACTTCTAACAATTCCATTTAAATTATTGCTAGATATGGCCATAGGAAATATATTTATAAATATATTAATAAAATAATCTTTTTTTAATTTAAAAGGTTTTCTTATCAAATTTAAGTGTAACTACAAACTTTTTATGCACAAATATATTTGTGAAGCCGACTATGAAAAGTTGTAGATACATTTACAAACAATTCGATTTTAGATCCAGATATGGATGTTATTGCCATAAAAAGCATATATAAATAATATAATAAATAAAAATATAATATAACTGCAATTTGCACTGTAAATTCATATTGAGTTTAAATTGATACTCGAGGCACAATTTAACGTGGGCTGACAACGTTAATTGATAGCGTTTTTTCTTTCTGGAATGTTGTCGTATGTGAGTCAAATCTATTATACATATACATATATACACATATGTGTGTGTATATATATTGCTTCCTTTGTCTGTTTACTAGCTCTCATTCTCACTTCCAGGGTCGCCCGCGTATCAGCGCTGTAATCAATCGGGCTCACGAATGAAATATGAAATTCTGTCTTTCGAAATGCGGTTTTACTTAGATTCAAAAGTTACACATTTTCAGCTTTGTATGTGCGCTTATTAAAAAATATTTTATATTTGTTTTTAATTGCTTGTGAGAATATTCGAGTAACTGGCAACCATTGCAACAAATAATTAGAAAAAAATAATTCATTTATGCCGGCCCATTTTTAAGTACTCTCGTTCGTCTAATAACTAATAGCTGAGCATTCACTTAAATTAATTGTCTAATTAGCTTTGTTTATTTACTTTTGGCACCTGTAAAGGGTATTTTCTAGTCGATCACGCCTTACTCTAACAAAATTGTTAGCAATCACATTTCATGGCTAACTTTGGGCACGATCTGAGACAACGCAACAGTTGAAACTATTCTAAAAAATATTTAAAATTCGATTTTATTTTTCTCTATGTGTAGACACACGTAGCAAAAATAAAAATAAAAATAATATATAATTCCTTATAAGTAAATATGAGCCAGAAAGTCTGCATATCTTCGGCACGCCGAAGATTTAATGCCCTAATGAAAATAGCTTTCAGAACAAGACACTTTGCCATACATAAACTCATTCCGATTCTTCCTTTGAGGCTTTTTATTATAGTTGTGCGATCTTAATAAGATTTGGCTCATATATAAGCAGCGCAGCTAAACCAATAAATGCTGAGCTTAGAGAAGATATATAATAATCGTATAGCTCGATGATATTATGGCCGGATATGAAAAGTGTAGAGAAATTTAAAAATGCCAGGCTTGGTGTCTTGGCACATAAGAATGTTTTCCATACAAGAACCCATCGAAACCGATCATTCATATGGCAGCTATATGATATAGTATTCCGATTTGGCAAGCTATAACATATGTCCTAACTGCAACAGAAAGTCGGACCAAAGTTCCGGGGCAATGGAGTTATAAGTGAGAGACAAGTTTGAAGGCAGCACAGCTGCTGATGCTGGATCTGGCATATATATACTTTGTCTCTTTCTATGTGTTACACATTCCATAAGAAAATGATAATACCCTCTGGCAGGGTATAATCAGCTAGTGCTAGACTAAACACCGCAAAGCTGATCTCGTGCTCGACTTGGAATCGCATGGCGTTTGGCAAAGTACAATTTGAATGCAAATTTTCTCGCCTATGGATTAAGTTGCGGCCCTGTAAGCAGACAATTGAAATACAATAATTATTGTTTACATTGTAACAATAAGACAATAAAACAAACAAACAAACAAACAAACAAACAGCAAATCGAATAATAACAGCTTTGATAAACAAATCATAATACAATACAACTTATTTGAAAGTCTGTAGATTGTGACTTAAGCTTGCGATTAACTATGATACATTTTAGTGTCTTCTTTATTCTGCTCTCAATCAAATCGAATCTAGCTTAAAACGTAACGTCATCAGGCAGGACACTCTCGATGACATGTCTTGCAGTGCAGGCTTTGCTCGCCGCAAATGAGCTAATGCTTTTGCCTCGACATTTGAACTTGTGCGACTTGTAAACTATGTTCCAAATTGCTTAAAATATTGCCCACGTATAGACACCATAATTCAAATGCCACATAAGTCAGCTTAATGTCTACTAAATCTCAACAGTTTATGAGTATTTACCAATTCTCGTTCGGTTCTTGGACTATTTGCAGTTAATTAATTTCAATTTCATCCCCCTCAAGCTGCCCTTTCCGCCGTATTAGTCATATATGTTCTTTTGTGTTATGATATTGACATTGACACTGACCGAGTATAATTATTGTGGGACGTGCTTAGCTTTTGTTTGTTTCCAAGCAACAATAATTACGTACACAAAGGCTTTGAATGGAAACGTTCTTGGATAACCTAATGACACGTGTTGTTTTACTATAAAGCTGACTTCATAATTTATGACTGGCTCTAACTAACCTATTGATTGACAGATAGCCAACTTTTACACAGGTGCTGGTTATAGAAACTAGCGTAGGACGAAATGTTTATTTATAGTATGCACAGTGCTGGCCATAAGTTTAGCACCACAAATGGGCTGGCAGCATCGATCAGATTGCCTAGAATATATTCATATATATGCTCTTAGAATTTGATTTGGATATGAATAAAAGTCTACCTCTATATCTTTATCAATATCTATATCGATAAGTTCTTCTGCCTATGACATAAAATTTCCACAACTTCATTCTACCCAGTTTTAACCATTTAAAAGTCAAAAGTACCCGACTAGCAGTTACCCCTTCTATTGCTAGAGTAATGCAAAGATTGGTTTGTCTGGCCTCTTAATCTTAGAAAACCAAGATTAGTTCGAGTTAATCGACAGGCAATGGATTACTTAAAACGTAGTCAGCTCGGAAATGCCTCACTTTAAAAATTGCAAACTTACTCTGCAAGTTTTTATGCACATTATAAATGAGTACAGGGTATACAAATGAAGTCCTTGCAAATGTTGTACTGCTTTTCTATAAATAATTTAATAATTATTTGTTAATTGTAATGCCCGGTGTGCTAGATTCCGGGCCAGCACTGTTCACTGTGGTCAGCTTGCGGCGCGTTGATTTGATCTGATGACGCGGCGATGACGTACATCGAATGGAGGCCAACGCCGTCGCCGTCGCCGTCGCGAATATGCGCATCTGACATATTTTTTATTCGAACGGAGACCTAAGCGCACCGAACCGAAAACAGAGCAAATGTTGACAGCCTTTAGCACACACACTCCAAATAAATTACATCATGGCTTGCCATCTTGATTGGGGAATATGCGAAATGGACAGCTCTATCGCTGTTGTCTTTCAATATTTTTGACCTTATTAAATTGTGTCCAATTGACATATAGTTGTAGAAGCGTAAAGAACTCCAACTTCATTCTAAAATGAATCTGATTTATGTTAATGTTGCTTTAAACAAGCTTGAGCCAGGAACTTTCATAAAGGTTCACCATTTAAGAAGAGGGTACATCAATGTCGCAAAGTTTGGCCTATTTTTTTTTTTTTTTTTGTTGTATTCTGTAAACAAGCCAATTTAGGCATCGAATCGGCTGATATTCAATTGATTTCGGACCATTCTGCCTTATATGAGTGTATGGAATTTTAACGAAGTATAAACGATAATAATTGAAAACAAAAATAAATAACTTAAAATGGATACATGGCAACAATTAAAGAGCGGCATATTTTCGCGAGCCTAGATTCGCTTATAGTCCAATTGTCCTCCCAACTTCTCCTAATCCGTTTTTTTTTTTTTCTTATTCTATTTTTTACAGATTGAGCCCGTTTTTAAAATGGAACTGTAAGTACTTAAAAATGTTTTTCATTTTTAAATTAAAATATATCTTAAACTAACTTTGTATTAAATTTGCAGCGAAGCAGCAGATCCCGTAGAACCGCAAGCCCGCTGGAGCACCTTTTTCGCGAATCACTGGAAAGGATGCGTTGTATTCTTAATGCCTCTAGTATGCCTGCCCATCATATTAATGAACAATATTCCGGTAAGTAGCTAGGCCAAGCTGTAAATGTCTCTAATAAACATAAACACTTAAATCGTATATTTACAGGAATACCGTTGCATGTACATATTATTGATAATGGCCGTATTCTGGGTGACAGAAGCGTTGCCTCTTTATGTTACATCAATGATACCAATTGTTGCATTTCCCACGATGGGCATTATGGTAAATAGAACTCTCGTTATTATGGCATAAACCAAAGTTTTAACTGACGGATCGCTTTTTTAGGGCTCCGAAGAGACCTGCATGACATACTTCAAGGACACGCTGGTGATGTTCATGGGCGGCATCATGGTCGCCCTGGCCATTGAGTACAGCGGCCTGCACAAGCGTCTGGCGCTGAGAGTAATCCAAATGGTGGGCTGCAGTCCCAGAAGGTCAGCGCTAGCATTGTCAGCTGCTCTACAACTAAAGCTGACTAGATTCATTTAATTTGTAGATTACATTTTGGCCTGATTATGGTGACAATGTTTATATCCATGTGGATTTCAAATGCCGCCTGCACGGCTATGATGAGTCCGATTGTCCAAGCGGTCCTGGAAGAATTGCAAGCGGTGAGTACTTGCGAAATTCTAGACATTTCTCGAAAAACACTTGTTAATCGTGCACTTTATTTAATAGCAAGGTGTCTGCAAAATCTACCATGAGCCAGAGTATCAAATGGTCGGAGGAAAGAACAAGAAGAAGAGTGAGGATGAGTATGTTAAACTAAAAAAAAAAAACAATTTGCAAACCAATTACTTACATATCGTCCAATTCGACAGGCTGCCGTATCCCACAAAGGTCACGCAATGCTACTACCTGGGCATTGCCTATGCCTCGTCTCTGGGCGGCTGTGGCACCATCATTGGCACCGCCACAAATCTAACCTTCAAGGGCATCTACGACACGGCATTCCCCAACGCCACGGAGAAACTGGATTTTCCCACATTCATGTTCTATTCGGTGCCCTCGATGTTGGTTTATACGGTTCTCACCTACGTTTTCCTGCAATGGCATTTCATGGGTCTCTGGCGGCCAAAGAGCAAGGAGGCCCAGGAGGTGCAGGTGGGCAAGGACAATGCTCATGTGGCCAAGAAAGTGATCGATCAACGCTACAAAGAGCTGGGCCCCATGAATATGCACGAGATTCAAGTGATGATACTATTCATTATCATGGTCTTCATGTACTTTACACGCAAACCGGGCATCTTCACAGGCTGGGCGGATCTGCTACCTGCCAAGTGAGTGCTCATTGTGTAAACATGCTATTATGTGCCAGGGTATTTAGACTGCGGCACCGGGAGAATAGCTGTTAGCTTTTGGCAAATATTTATTAACAGCTACTAACTTTTGGTGTATACTTTCAGGGTGATTAAGAATTCCATGCCAACCATATTTGTGGTGATCATGTGCTTCATGCTGCCCGCCAATTATGCATTCCTGCGCTATTGCACACGACGTGGACCGGTGCCAACGGCGCCGACACCATCGCTGATTACCTGGAAGTTCATTCAGTCGAGGGTTCCATGGGGTCTGATCTTCCTGCTTGGCGGTGGCTTCGCCCTGGCTGCGGGCAGCAAACAGAGTGGCATGGCCACCCTAATTGGCAGCTCAATGAGCGGTCTGAAGGTGCTGCCACATCCAGCTCTGTTGTTGGTGGTCATTCTGGTGGCGGTATTCCTGACCGCCTTCAGCTCGAATGTGGCTGTCGCCAATATTCTCGTGCCTGTGCTCAATGAAATGGTGCGTGGACATGGCTATAAAATCGAAGGAATGACTATTAATCTTTTGATATATATATTACAGTCACTGGCATTGAAGATCCATCCACTGTACCTGGTCTTCCCAGCAGGTCTCGCCTGCAGCATGGCCTTCCATTTGCCGGTGAGCACGCCGCCAAATGCCCTGGTTGCTGGCTATGCGCACATTCGCAGCAAGGACATGGCTATTGCGGGCATTGGACCAACGATTATAACCATCATTGTGCTCTTCATTTTCTGTCAAACCTGGGGCATGGTTATTTACCCAAACCTGGACACGTTTCCGGAGTGGGCACAAATCGCCGCCGAGGAAGCGGCCAACAAGAGCCGTCTGCTGGCCGAGGTAGCCGCCAATAAGACGCGTATTATTGAGCTCGCCGCAAATGCGACACGCTTATTGGCCAACAATACGGAGCTGTTGACTGATTTGTCTACCAGCAGCTCGAATCTGGTGGGCAACATTATTGCCAACAGCACGCAGCCGTTGGCCCAGTTGGCTGTCAATGGCACACGCCTGTTGACGGATCTGGCTTTTAATAAAACCCTCTAATTAGTTAGTTAACTTTCTGGTCTAAGAGTGGACACAAGCCCTGCGAGTAGCGCCGTGAGGGAACTGTACAAAGAAACACAAGTGCCTTTGCTTAAATGTTCTTATGCTCTACAACACAATTAAGTATAAAGTTGAACGAAACAAAACCAATTATTAAAAAACAGTTAAATTTTTTAAACGAATTTACAAACAAACTCAAACACGAAACTTCAGTCCACAAGCAATGACTGTTCCTCTGTGGCGCAATTTTTGAGAAAATTCTGTGTAGAAAATTACAACGTGTATAGCGACACCTGAGTATGTCAAAAGTTAACAATAATTAGAGAATGAAACGAACTTTCAGCATACGAGCGCATTTACTAATAGCCTTAACAGTTGCATCAAAAAATTAACAAAAAAAAAAGAAGAAAAGAATATACATATGTTAATTATTGCATTTAGCGAAAATCAAATGTTTTATATTGTTTGTGTATAATATGCATCAAAAAGAAAGAAACAGGCATTGAAATGTATTTTTATACTCTTTTTTTTTTAGCAACTAGACTGACGGAAAGTGTTTAAATTTCTTTTTTGCATATGTAATTTTTGTTTAAATTTAGACGGAACTTGTGAAAACAAAAGAAAATTACTCAATATTTGAATGCGTACGAAAGTTAGCACACAAATAGCATAAGTTATAAGTTTTATGGATAATTTGTAAATTTGCAAACGATTAATGTTTTATAGTTGTAAAGTCAAATAAAAGCTCAACATGTAAAAACTATCACATATTTTATGGCAACAAAAAGTAGCTACAATATTTATATGTTTGTCATAATATTGTTGAGAAATGTAAAACTCTTAAAAAATTGTTATCCGTCTCTTTGCATCTAAAAGAAATCATTTGGCTTAAAGTTTAAACTTGATTTACATTTTCAATAATTGTCGAAGTCAATCGTGTCGAATCACTGCCATTGCTTGACAGCAAAGATTTCTTTATGATACTTTAACAAAATTCAAATTTATTATAAGCCTATCTTTGCCTTTATACATATATATACATAAGTATTATACTTAAGTTAGCTTTAAAAAAAAAACAGTCTTGAAGTGCGACTCGATTCTTATCGATATGATGAACATGGAACTAGATAGCGTACAAAAAGGTAAGCCGCTTCTGCATTTTGGTAGTTAGAATACATATTTCTAATTTCCAGTCTAATAGCTTTTGTTGTTTCCAAATTGCTAGCTCAAATCAGTCCCTCGTGTTGATCATGAATATATAAATTATAAGGGATCGGAGATGTATTCTGCTTCCTAAATGCATTTGCTCAAAACCAAAAGGCAGCAGCTCGTCAGAGGATTAAATCCCTTGAAGCAGGTGAGTGTGAGGATAAAACAAGCTGCCAGGAAGACTTATAAACAGAAATGTAGGAGATTGGAAGTCTTGGTGCTTCGATGGCATCAGGTTAGAAAGGAAGTCAGGTATGATAAATTTCAGAGGCAGTTCTAGGCATACGATTCATGAACTAAAATCAAACAAAACACGCATGGGACTTATTTTATATCAAAATATTAAGATTTATTACGATTTGTTACAATTATACGTTTTCTTTATTGCTAAGTTTAGCATTTTAAAACAAGGCACACGCAGGGGAAAGATAGCTAGCATTGAAGTACCACAAAAAATTGCCCGCAACCAAAGAACTGACAGCATGTTCAGTGGGAAGTTGGATATAAAGTGCGATAAGCTGTACTCTGTGCAAATTAAGCGAAACCCACTGGGCTGGAATATCTAAAACTTGGACGATTTGATCAGGTTGAGTGCCTCGGTGAGCATGCGTCCAAAATCGGCATGGACCAGCGTGAAATTCTTGACCGCACGCTCCTGTATGAACTGACTGGCATTGCTCAGATTATCGGCAATGTTCTGCACGAGTCGCTTCTTGGCGCAGTTGTCGAGCACATGCACCCAGAAATCGGTCACCTGGCCGTAATTATCCTCCGTATCGCCGCTGCTGTAGCGATAAACATCGCCGGTCACCGGGCAACAGGTGGATAGGGCGCGAACGCGTGGATCCTCCTGCGGGCCGTTGAAGGAATTGGGGAAATAGTTGGGTGCTCCGTCCTGGTTGTCGGTGACATTCATGAAGCCATCGCGTTGGAAATTGTTAACCTTAACGCGATAAGGGCAATTGACGGGAATCTGCAGATAGTTTGGTCCCAAACGATGACGATGCGTATCCGAGTACGAGAAGAGGCGACCCTGCAGCATCTTGTCCGGGGATGGCTCAATGCCGGGCACCAGGTGCGCCGGACTGAACGCAATCTGCTCGACCTCGGCAAAGTAGTTCTTCGGATTGCGATCGAGCACCATTTTGCCGACTGGTATCAATGGGAATTCCTTGTGCGACCAGACCTTGGTCACGTCAAACGGATTGTACTTGAACTTCTTGGCCTCATCGAAGGTCATCACCTGTATGCTCAGCGTCCAGCTGGGGAACTTGCAGTTCTTGATGCGATTGTACAGATCACGTATGCTATAGTCCGGATCACTCGATGCCAGATCGGCTGCGGTCTTCACATCCAGATTCTTGATGCCCTGATCCGTTTTGAAATGGAATTTGGCGTAGACGGGCTCGCCCTTGGCATTGACCAGCTTAAAGGTGTGCGAACCATAGCCGTTCATGTGACAGAAGCCGTCAGGTGTGCCGCGATCGCTAAACAAGAACGACACCTGATGCGTGGACTCGGGACGCAGTGTCAGGAAGTCCCAGAACATGTCCGCATCCTTCAAATGCGTTTGCGGATTACGCTTTTGCGTGTGTATGAAGCTAGGGAACAGAATGGGATCACGAATAAAGAAAATGGGCGTATTATTGCCCACCAAATCCCAAACACCATCGTCCGTATAGAACTTAACGGCAAATCCGCGCGGATCACGCGCCGTATCCGCCGAGCCGCTCTCGCCGCCCACCGTCGAGAAGCGAACGGCCAGCGGAGTGCGCTTCTTGACCTTCTCAAAGATCTTGGCGGCACAGTACTTGGTTATATCGTGGGTAACCTCAAAGTAACCAAAGGCACCGCCGCCCTTCGCATGCACCACACGCTCCGGGATGCGTTCGCGATCAAAGTGCGCCATCTCGTCCAGAAAGTTGACATCCTGCAGCAGCAATGGTCCGCGTGGACCCACCGATAGCGTCGCATCCTTGATGCCAATGGGTGCACCGCTGCCCGTCGTAACTACGCCCGGACATTCCTGCAAAGAAGAGCAATTGTTGCCGCACATAAAGATCAGATAAATGGCTGCTTTTATCGCTTGAAAGTGCACAGATAACAGGTAATCCCAGTTTAACTATATACCCTATATACCCTATTTAAACATTTGCCCCTATATGCGAATCTAGCTGCACTTTGTTTCTCTCTTTGGTCGAGTTCAAAGTATTCGCTTATCTAATCTGTGTCCAAGTATTTTTCTCAACTTTTACTGCCAGCTCAAGTAGAAGCATAAAAATTGGATGGCATTAGTTGCGTATCGCTCTTCACGGGAGGTACACTCTATATACCATATATATATATATATATATACATATATATATATAGTATATAGGCTAAGATTAGAATACTATCACACACGCTAGATTCCTTGGCTTTATGATGGCAGCGGCAAGGTGCAGCTGCTGCCGCTCCCAGAATAGCTTATCAGTTATTCTGGACACAAAAAAGTCCGAGCTGAGCTGTTTACTAAATGTATCTTTAAGATACTGCGCTGACTAACAATGCATTTGGCTTACATAACTTATAAAATGCTAACCATAAAATTGCATATTAAGCTGACGACAATTTCATCACAACTCCCATTAGTTTAATTGTGGCGCATTTAGCTTCTCATTGTTAGACAACACCTGATATATATCTATATCTATAGGTATATATCGGGTATATATCGGGTATATATATTTATGTGTATATATGGATGTGCGAAATAGTGCAAAATGTGCTTCTGAATTTTGCAGTTTTCTTCTGATTTGCAATCACAATTGTTTGCACTTTGAGACATTTGCGACATTTAATGAATGTGGGGCCACATCAGAGGGCGCTCCTGGCTAGATAATAAGAAGCAAACAATAGCTATCAAGTGTGTGTGCGTGTGTGTGTGTGTGTGTGGTGTGTACTTTGATAAGGCACAACGATCGATTGGACAGAAATGCAAAACATCGGAAAGTTTTAATTGCAAGTTGTTTATGCTGCAAGAAACAAGCTAATAAGGCCTTCAGCTGATAAATATGCAGTAGAGATAAGTTAAGGGAATCTTGAAAAAAAAAAAATCTTAAAATAAGAAGAAAATACAAAAATGAACAACAGGCAAGCTTACAAAGAAAGTATTGTTGCCTTTTGATCGGATATCTGATAAAAATATATCTTATAAAGTCACCAAATGATAAACTTTGCACTAAAGATAAGATTGCGTTTAAAGAAAAACTTGAAAGAATACTTAAAATAAGTAGAAAAAAAGTAACTGAAAGATTGCAAAGAAAGTATTTTAGCCTTTTGATCGGATATCTTATTAAATAGATATCTTACATGAATTTATATACACTTAATATAAGATTGCGTTTAAAGAAAAACTTGAAAGCATACTTAAAATAAGAGGAAAACACGAAATTGAACAGTTTGAAGATTTACACAGAAAGTGTTTTAGACTTTTGCTTAGATATTTTAAAAACGATATCTTATTGCGTTTAAAGAGAATCTTGAGAAAATCTTAAAAAAAGTATAGTACCACTTCGATCCAATATATCTAGAACTGAATCGAAGAACTTTGCGTGTTTGAAATGTATTTCAAATATGCGCATATATACATATATGCATTTCTAGCTATTTTTGGGCATTCCCCATTGAACAAAGAAGTGCGAACATACTGAGTATGCAAAAACAAAGGCATTCGAATAATGCCTGACAAAATGCAGTTTATAGTTCGCTTGCCACAAAAGGTCGGGCCAAGCAACAACACGAACTCATTTGTGGGTCAGCCGCAATGCGATTTCGACAAACATATTCTCACATATGCGATCGCAGGCGAGTGCCAAATGGATTACATAACCAAATGTGGTCGATAATTGTTTCTTGTTTTGGATCATTGATCGTTTGCCATGCCCTCACTCCCCACCCCCCCCCCCCACTCCCCTTCGTTCCACCTGGCCAGGTGAACGAGTTTAAGGCGTTTGCGTGGCGAGTTCAACGACTTTTTGTCAACCAGTTTATGCAACTCGCGAAAGTGCATCGACTTAAGGCAACAAAAGTTTAATCTAAGATGAAGAAAAAAAAAAAAACTCATTGATTAACAAGCTGCGCGTTGCGAAGGCCCCGCTTCGAGTTGCTTTGTGCAACGTGTTGCATATTAGTTCATAATTAACTAAATAAATAATTGCATTGCGTGCGTACTGAAGCAGAAATTCAATTTTCTAATTGCAAGGTTAATTAGCTAAATTATGTGTGGCAAAGCCCACAAAACACACCCTCAGCTATAAGTATAGATATATATATGTATATACGATTCAGATTTGAATTGCAGATTGTAAGCGGGCCTCGGGGGCGGGCGGCGTGGGGTGGCAGAGGGTGGCTATAAATTAGTTATGATTATCTTTCGCTCAACAAAAAATAATGCCAAATACAAATTGATAATGGATATGGAAACTCGGGCGAAATGTGCACATATGGAATAAATAGATAAGGATAATATATGTATTATATAAAGGCCAGCGGATGTGGGGCATATATATTTTAACAGGCAGTTGTAGATTTACCTAATCAAAACTCCTCTAAGACAAAGAACTCGAAAGAGTGCAAAGAAATTGAGCTGAAGTATTTATCAAATTAGAAGCCAATTCTTTGCAAGTCATCTATAGAATAAAGGGTATCGATACGACAGACATCTAAATAGATCGGAGATTTCCGAAATGAATCTCTCAAGAATCTAAAACCTTCCGCTTCCAACCAAATCGAAAGCGAAAGATTTTTAACAAATATTGTCGAAATCAAATGAGTGCAATTAACGTCTAGGTGTGCCAAGAGAGAAAATAATAAAAAGTATAAAAAGAGTTGATCATGCGATGACAAGACAAGTTTTTGGGCTGGGCGAAGGCAGCTCTTGATTTGGAAGGCCTTTGGATTAGGTACAATTGGAACTATGCAACTATTTTATGGACTGATAAGCGTTATCACAAACGTGACGATAAGATTGAGTATGGATTTATAAATAAATAAGAATGTTCACTGTTTGTAGGCGAAATTGTTGGCATAATCTAATTAAATGAATGAAGCCAGCAAAAGGACGATGCTGCCAAGCTGGAAAATACCCAGTATATCCTGATTTTCAAAACTATACCCTATTATTTTTGTCAATATATTATTTGCTACTAAAGGATTCCTTGCAGGAACTAAACTATAGAACTATAGATATTTACAGGGTATCTTAAAGCCTCCAACTGCAAACCAAAAACGAAAAAAAGCCAGCAGCAAATATAACAATGCAAAGTCGTGACTACTAGCGCAATATATATAATTTATATATTATATATTTGCTCGAGAGAAACGCAACTTGTTTTGATATTGTACGAAAAGCAAACACCCTATGCCCCACACACCCAACCCAACGTACAAGAGCGAGAAAGCGAGAGAGTGAGAGTGGGCGAGCGAGAGCGAGGAGCGCAACACTAGGCGAGAGAAACAAAACAACAGTGCATTCAGTTGAACTTTGGCTATGCGAGCTGCAAACTGCGCTGCTACAAAAAATGTCCATACACAATTCAATGTTTTATTGTTAATGAAAAACATTGAAATTCCTAGCGGGCTGTTATCTGTTGAATCGCTTTCGCTTTATTCGGTACTCACCTTTTGCGAGTTCTTGTAATCAAGCAGTTGATTCGAAGCGGCATCGCGTGTAGCCATTATTCAGCCTTATTTAATTTCCTTCTATAACCAGAAATTTTGAGTATGCTTTACACTGAAATGTTTTACGCGTTGTCGCTGATTTGCGGCTAATTTTGTTAACTAAAACACGTAGAACGCAGCGCTCATTGCTTTTATAGGCGGTCTGACATTTACAGTTTTCTGTGTGGCCGCACGCCGTCAGCACGAAAATGCCAAATGTTGACTATGTTAACTGTTAGGAACATGCAAAAGTCCAAATACATTCTTTGCTTGAAACAATTGTAATTCTAACGAAACTTTTTTATTAATTTGTTGTTTACCTTACCGAAAATCGTTGCTAAACAGTTCTTGCTCAAATAGAATAAATGCCAAAATAGACCAACAGTTGGTAACAGAATGTTAACGAACATTTCATGTTATAATTTGTGGCGGTCGGTCGATATACAACCAATATCGTCTGTTAGTCGTGCGATATTTTGACGATGGCCTCTTTAGTTCGCTGTATTTGCTTGCGTTGGCAGCTCGCGTTTAATTCGACGGTTGGCAGGCCTCCGTATTTTTGTAGTCACTTTCTCAGTCATTCATTCTTCATACGTTCGTTTGCCTTCGTCTCTCTCGATTTTTGAAGTAGTAGTGATTTCTTTTTATAACAATCTCAAATATATACATAGTATATATAGCAAAAGCGATTATATATATATATACCAATAATATAGTGCAACACATTTACATAAATAATAAGCATACAATTTAAATGCTAGTGCAATCCAAATTCAATGGCACTTTCGTAAAAGTAGCTTTTTACGTAAAAAGACACATAAAAAAACGGCGCGTGTGAAAATTTTCAACAACGACGTAGCAGCAGTCAGCAGAGGCAGTCTCAGTCTGTCTCGCCTCTACGTTTCTTTGCTGCAAAAGGAGAAGCTGAGCAACAACACAACTACAACAAAATTCCCCACACACAAAGTAGGCCAACAACAACAAAAAAACAGCAAAGCAAGCAACAGCAGCAGCAGCAACAGCAACAACAACAACAAACCGTAGTGTGTGTGTATGTTTGTGTGTGAAGTGTATTATAATAAAAATGTGAATGTGTGTGCGTGTAAAATACAAAAAAGAAGTATCAAAAAAGTAGAAAACTCAGCGACCGACAATTTGTAATTGTGTCAGCCTATTTGTGTACGTGTGTGTGTGTGTGTGTGTGTGTGCGTGTAAATGATTTAAATCAAAAGTCTTAAAAAAAATTTGAATTTTGACATTCAAACGCACATCGTATGCATGTTGCTGTGTCCGTTTGCATATATATATATATCTATATCTTTATATTTGTATATATCTATAAAATGTTGTGTCGCTGCGCACATTTTGCGAGACAAGTGAAATTGTCTTTGTTTCGTTTGCAAGAAGCGTCTGCGGGGGCGCCTAAAGTGTAGAAATGAAGTTCCCTTCAAACGAAACATCGTTGCCCCCCTGCACGGCGAAGTCAACGTCAGCGTCAACGTCGACGTCGACTGCGACTGCGACATCGCTACATAGCGGGCTGAACACAGTGTCTGTGTGTGTTTGCTGTCTCGTTGCGTGTCTGTATGTATGTGTATCAGTGCGCGTGTGTGAGTGGCAATGAACGTTGCCTAAAACAACAACAACAACCATAAAATCAACATACTTTTTTTTTTTTATTTTGGAATATTTGCGCCGTCGGTGATTATACTATATAGACAGACGCCTGCAGCTGATGTGAAGATGATGTGTTGCTCGCTTGCTGATTGCCTGATAAATCCATACAAAATGCAAATTGAAATTTAGTGCAAAATAAACATATTTTAATAATACTTAGGTCTATCGCTCCCTCTACCCCCCTCTCTCTCTCTCTCTCGCTCTCTCTTTCTTTCTATTATTCTCAGTAGCGGTGCATAAGTGAAGCAAATGTACACGAAGAGGCAAACGCTGGCGACGCGCCGCGACGTCGGCTCTGCAGGACAGGTTTATCAGGGCAAAAATTTCACAAAAAGATACTGAGCCGTATATATACGTGTATGTGCTCCCCTGTATTTTGCAAAGTGCGTCTTTGTGTATGTGTGTGTGTGTATCAACAATGTGTGCAACAATAACAAAAACAACAGCAACAACAACAACGACTAACATAGCAGCACGAGAAAGCAAAGTGAAATTTATTAAAGCAACAACAACAACAACACGCAATACCAATTCGAAACCGTTATTCAACAATTTCTTGAAATAAGTGAAAGAAGGCAAATACTGGTTTTTATATACATATACACACACATGTATGTATGTGCATGTATATTTTAATGTTGAAAGAAACAACAACAACAACAACAGCAACAACTAAAAAGTTGCTGTGCGAGAAATTTGTACGTGTATTACCAGCGTGTGTGTGTGTGTGAGTGTGTGTGTATGCGTGGTGTCTTCAGACTGTGTGTGAGACAAATAGTAAAACAACAAAGTGAAAAGCAATGCTAAAAGGAATTAAAACAACAACAGCAACAACAACCCCATTAACGGTACCAAACAATTACACAAAACGTGAACGCAACGTGAAATAACAGTAAAAGTCTTTTCAAAAAAGCTACAGAGAGCGCAACAAAAGCAACACGCGTGGGTGTCAACGTCACACGCACACACGCTCAACCAACAGCAGCAGCGCCAGCGGCAGCGCAGCAGCAGCAGCCAAGGGGTGGCTGCAGGGAACAAAGGCAGCGTCCGGCTCTGCCACTCAGCTTTACAATTGAGCATATTTTCAAGGGCTCCAACAAGCGCGCGCTGCGTTTCAATTTAAATTATTGGAGGTGAGTTGTTGGTTTTTTCAGTGTGTGTGTGTGCCTTTAATTTAATTTGTTTTGTTTTGCCTATTTTTTTAATAAATTTCGAACACGTCTCACCTCAAACTGTGCAAACCAACAGACAATTTGTTTTCTGTGCAAATTTAATGGACGCGCGCTTTAATTAAAGCTCTTTGGCTAATAGCAAGAGAATGACAGCCAAAAGGGAGGGGTTAAGCCGCAGCTTACTTTATGTTTGGGCCTTAATATATGTATTTGGCAACGTTGACACATGCTGATCCATTTTTTGATAAACCTTTCCCTTGCTCGTACAGAGAAACGTGATGTTTTAACCTTGCTGCCATCAACATATGCTGTATCTATATATATATATATATATATATGTGTGTGTATGTGTTTATATATATGTTTATGCATACAATTTTCTGCTTCAATTGACTTCAATTTGCTTGGTTACCAAATTACGGTTAAAACTAAAAGTACCCTATCCTAATAACAGTTTCTGTTCCCCCCTTTTTCTGTACTTACACATGCAAAGTATATGTTAACTTATGTGAGCTAATTGTCATACTGGGAATATATTAAACCCATTTTATTTTTTAAATCCACAAATATCCTTGTCTGATCTTTTACTAGGGAACATGTTAGCATGTTAAACTGAATGAAATATTTTTATATAATCCAAACAATAAGTTGAGCAAATCGCAAGAAATGTTTCTTAATATTTCTTTCTTAGTGTACAGCAGATCGGCTCCTGAACAATTCGAATGCTCAATGTCGTAACCTACATAGAAAGTAAAAATCTATAACAGAACAGATAAGTAAAGACACAAACCTAGAGATAAGCAGCCGCCGAGGAGAAGCAAACAAAAGGCAAAGAACGTCTTGTTCGTAAACATTGAACTAATTGTGTCAGGTGTAAAGAACAAGTTCCCAGGCATATATATTTACCGATTATCTATATATATCTATAAAATCGATTATGCCTTAAGCAAGCTGTGCTTTAAGATATATACAGAGTTAGCTTGTCTAGCTTGTTTTGCTTAAATATATTGTACAAGAGAAGAGTTTCTTAGTTCATCAAATTCAAATTTTAATAGCAAAGGAAAATTCTTAGCTTAAACAAAAGTTAGCCTAACTTCATCACTAAATTTGAAGTTTCTCAAATTTGTATTAGGCAAAATGTACATAACTGCAAATAGCTGAAGTTTAAAAAAGTTTGAGAAGCACAGAAAAGCTTACTCCAAACAATTCCTGTATTTTCGACGGATTTCTGCCCATTTCCCAATATTCCTTCCCATTGGCAAATTAATATTTCCCTCTTCATTAAGTTCAATTAATTTCTTGTCGAATCTCTTGTAGCAGTTTTTTCAAGATATTCATTTTATATAACTCTTTGAATATTCATTCTTATGGATTCCTGTCAAATGAATTTAACTAATATCTTATTAGATCTTTCACAAAGATATTTCTTATTGGCTTCTTAATATGCCTTCCGACTAATTTCTGCCGACTGAGGTAAAGCCAACTTTTGCCAGATCTTTTCCAACGCTATTATAAAATTCAAATGTAGTTCTTCTTTTCATTTCATAATATTTCTTACACATTTGACAAAATACCTTCTCATGAGAGTTTAGTAGTACAAGAAAAGTATTCAAAACTATATTCATATATTTCATATCTAGAACATGTCCCATTCCCCGCAGAATATGTCCCATTCAATGTCTAACATAATTTGTGTTACAGTTATAATGCCCCTTCTTCAAGGGTACAAAAATAGAAGAAGCGCTGACAATGTTTGCCCAGCGATTTTATAATCTCGTGTATGTGCATGTGTGTGTGTGTGTGTGTTTGTGTGCCTGTCGCTGTCTGTGTGTTGGTTTTGTTGTTTGTTTGCTGTCCACAAAAGTGAGAGCTGAAAAACTCAAAACTGATAATTGTTTAGAATTTTACTGTACAGCTGTGCCCGATTCGTTGGGGCTGATAATTATTTAGGCTCAAGTTATGTATGTGCCTCTCTCTCTCTCTCTCTCCCTCTCTCTCTCTTTCGCTTCTGCTGTCTTTATCTATATGCACATTAGAGATGAGTCCGCGTGTCAGCTGAACACGATGAAAACACGAAGCGCTTTATAAGTATGTTATAGGCAGATTCCATTATGCTCAACATTTGTTACATTTACAAAATTCACATTCTGCGATTCCATTAGCGTAAGTTGTTGGCAACATATGAATGACAATCATCTCTAATAGGAACTTTGTATCTGTATCTGTGCCTGTATCTTAATCTGTATTTGTATCTCTATCCGTGCCTTGCTTTTAGAAAAGTATCTGCATCTGTTCGCGTATCTGTATCTCTATCTGCATCTTAAGGCACGGTGCCAGCTCTAAGCCCCTTAATTAGGTATTCTTTAGTGTGCGCTTAAACGGTTTGTGTAGCTCAGTTTTTGCCTTGTTAAAGCTTAAAGCAGCGTTCCAGCAACCGGTTTGTTTCGAAACACAATAGAACTAAAGAACTGTTTGCTTATATCGTGAGTTGGCAACAAACTTTGCCGCTTAAATACATATATATAAATATGCATGCACATACATAGACACAATATGCAGGTTAAGTTTGTTTATAGTATAAAAACTTTCGGATAACTTTGGTCAAGATTTAAGCTATTTTTGAAAAGCGTAGGGCGTTTTCTGAGCAGGCGCAACCAGGTCACAAAATCGAACTAGAACAAACTTTCAAAGTTCAGTCAAGTTTTTTTTTTAACATTATTAAAAAATTATAAAAGTTAGTTTCTCTTTTTGTGGATGTTAACAAACCAAGTTTAAGCACATTTGCTGACTGGCCAAAAACAAGAACAGAAAATTCATAATAATAAAGAATTACAATTTAAAAAGTTAATTAAGTTCATTAATTTTATGAATAATTCCAATGAATCATGCTTTTGATTGTTTGCCGATCATTTTACCAAAATGAAAATACTTTCAAAGCAAATTACGTTTGTCATCAAAAATGTTTTATTTTTTTTTTTATCACGTTTAGTGCTTTTATGTCTATTCGTAGTACCTGTTAATGATTGCCTGGTCGGTGGCGGGAAAGGGTGTAGGGTAGAGGAGGGGAGGGTTAAGCCAAAGTTGCGGAACTAGAGCTCAGATTTCAGCTGGCATATTTCACAGAAATGGCAATGACCCCTCAACATACATTTCAGACTTTAAACAGATTCAATTAAGTTAATTTCGAGTTTCTCAACTGCCTAAATCAAAAAAGAGTTGAGTTCTAGCCCCTTAAAGGGGGTTGCTAATGTTCAAAGTGACTCATTTTTTTGTTAACTGAATAAATAGAAGCTTGGGTTGGCATAGTTTTGTCTCAATTCTTAGAGAAAGTCATCTGTAGTCTAGTTTCAAGAGAATCTACCTATAAAACTGTGTGTAATGGGATACATCAATGCGGTTTGCCGACATCTTGTTAGCCTTGTCGCTAAGCTACATTATCTGAGGGGGAAATGCTTGTATCGGTGGCCATAATATTGTGGTCAGACGGACTTGCTAGTCGGATGTGGCTCAATTGCAATAATATCCATGTTTTCACTCTGCGAACAGGGTATAACAACTTGAACATTATGTTATTAACATAATTAAGCATGTTAAGATTTGTAAGCCTTTCTTTTATGCATTTGCAATTCACACTCTGAAACATATGTTAAGTAAGTCTTAATGAGCTCTGCTTTTTCAAGAGCATTTTAGAAAAAACAGATTGGATTTTTAAAGAATTTTTTCATCCATAAACTGTGTTTGCTTGATTTTCCTCCTGCTTCCTTACAGTTTGAGAGTCAATGCCATGGGCTTACAGTTTCAGATTCATCAGCTCAGTAATTAAGAATATTTCCCCCTGTTCTTAGCATTTAACATACTGTTAACAGAGCAAAGTCGGTTGGCCCCAATTGCGAAGTACTTACTCTTAAGCATTCGATTAAAGCTGATCAGTTTTGCCACACCTAATAAATACGATGGAAATTTCTGATAAGTGATACCGTAATTATTTATGGCATTTTGTGATACGATATGATGCAACAATCAATATTTTGACAACGTGCTCTTTAACAGTCTGTCACAAATAACATATGTAATGCTTTACAGAACACTTGAGTGCAAAGCATCGATTTAGAATGGTAGAGCGCGCGCGAGTGAAAGGGACAGAGCGAGAGGAGAGGCAGAACGAAAGCGAAGAAAAAAAGAGCAAATAGATTAACAAGCAAGTTCTGTACGTACGTCTCAACGTCTGCCGCGAGCGTATTACAACATTTGCGCGCCGCAGCGACGACATAAATTCTACAGCTACTGCCGTGAAATCAACGTTGACTGCGCTGCGCTAACGTTTCGTTGTGTTCCGTTCATGTGCCGTTGGCCCCCAAAGGCGAATAAACGACAATAACGAAAACAAAAACAAAAACAAAGGCAGCGGCAACTGCTCCGTCGCCGATCGTTAGCGTCATCGTCGACGTCGACGCCGACGCCGCCGTCGTCGTGTTGCTCAGCTTAATTTGGCTTTGTTGGCGTTACAAAAGTTCGGTCTTTGTGTTGTTATTGTTGTTATTTGTGTTGCTTTTAAAAATGTTTATCTTAGAATAATAAGGAACATTTTGTACACATTTTTTTTTTTTTTTATTATACAAATGCATTTGCTAAATACATGCCCATTATCGATTTGAAGGGCAATTAGTGGCTTATCATTTTACTGACCAACGCAAATTTAACTACAAATCTAGCCTCAAAATGACATTACTTGCTAGAGATAATGTTATATATGTTTCCATATATGTTGAGGTAAAAGATCTACTTACATCATAGATTAATTTAGCTTTTGTCTGCCAATTCTTAGAAAATATATTTCCTGTTTCGATTCCATTCAAAAAGAGCAAGAGCTGTTTCAAATTCTATATATTCCATTTTTAGTTCAAGGAATGAAAAAGTATTGCAAACTTCTACTTTACCATGTTTATTAAATTCTTCTGAACTTTTTGGATTTCTGACATTTTCCACATTTTTGAATAGATTTACTTTTATCCAACCTATGACAAGTTTTATAAATACAAAAACATAGTGATACATATATTTTAAAAATGTTTATTTACAGATGCTGAATGTGGTCAATATTTTCAATAGGTGTTCCAAAATCATTGGACTATAAGTCACAAAGGTAAATATTGCTGATTTGTAACATTTAAACGAAATCTCAGTTTCTTTTTCGATTCGTAGAGTAGTTAAGGGAATTTCCTATATCTGTTAGCTATTCATACCGATCGAGAATACATATGCTATAACGACTTGTCAACTTCGCCTAAACATTTCACATTTGATGAAAATATTATATTATTTACTGCAAGTGTATTAAATTATGGTTTAGTGAATGCCGCCTATTAAGTTTTATACTTGTTTTTATATCCATTTATTTAGCATTTTAATATGTCTCATGTTGTTGTTGCTTTGCGCTTTTGTTTTCTTATTTATGGTTTTTGCTCTGGTTTTCTTCTTTATTTTTTTTTTTCAATTTTACAATTTCACATTTCGCAAAAGTTCGTTGTGCTCTTACGTCGCAGCTAAATATTGTGCGCGGCATTGTTCCGTTCCGTTCCGTTTCATTTCATTCCGTTTTGTTTCGTTCGTACGTAGCGACGACGCAACATCGTTCACACATTGTGCACATGTATGCACAAATATACAAGCATGCATACACACACACACACAGACATGTGCATGCATATACTTATTTATATTACTTGCAATAACAACAAAAAAAAAATGCGTCACAATTTATTTACACTTTTGCTAGCGGCAATGGCAGCACACACACACACACACGCAGACGAGAGTCGTCGAATGTTTGTATTGCATGTATGCATGTATGTATGAGTATATTAGGCCTTGACCTCTACAATCGACATATCCCACAACTCTGCCGCAGTTTCTTCGCTGACTGCGCTGCGCTTTTGGCTTTTGAGGGCAACGAAGTTGCTTTTCTTCGTATTAAATGTAATTGCTTTTCGTTTGATTATCAATTATTTGTTTGTTTACAGTGCAAGCAATTGAAATTTCTACAAAATACAAGCGGCGCATCATAAAAATGGCCATTCGCAATTTACATACATACATACATACATACATACATATATTCTTGTCTTGAAGCTAATTTGTGTTTGCAATAACAGACTTGATTGCGTTACATAGCTGTACATATATACATATGTATGTATGTAAACCAATGTTTGAAACTGTAATTGCTGAGGAAGTTTAACGAGAAAGCGGCAGTTGATGAAGAAGCAGAATATGTTAAACTCCTCTCACATACTTACAAAATAACATTCATGCTTAATGTTTACTTTGGCAGCTTTGCATAGGAAACTGTGAATAGCCCAAAGTAAATAAAATGTTAACACACTGTTAAGTGCTCAAATTTAACATTGAATCTGTAAACATTCTGCCTGTTCTTTTTTTTTTTTGGTTGCACTGTAAAACGCGTTCGGCACGCAGATGTTTTATCTAGGCACAATATTTTTTGCAGTAGGTGTATCTGCTTGGGTGTGTGTGTGTGTGTGTGTTTATTTCCATTTCAAGTTTTGTTTACTTTTCATATCTAGTCTTATCACTAACACGTGAGTTTTTGTTGTTGCTAGTTGGGATTGTTTTGATTACATTTTTTTTTTCACCTGCCCATTAACTGTTTAATGACAGCTTTAAATATAAGCTAAGAATTAGCAACTAAATGGGGCATCATGTTGCATGGACTTTGACTAGATTTTATCGCAACTTATCTAAACTCGCTTTAATTGTATTTTCTTTTTTTCAATTTTCATTCCTTTGTTTTTGGTTTCCTTCAGTTTAAGAAGCAAATGTGATGGAAACCTTAGATTATTACAGGGTATAATCTGTTTGTCAAGGTGCCTGGCATGTATATTTATATATATATATCAACAATTTTAACCTTAATAAAATAATAATATAATGAACATAAGCAGCTAAACAAGTTGAAATGAACGTCCATTTGTTCAAATAATGAAATTTGTATTTTCTGCTGGTTTCACATAAATTTCGTTTCATAGGGGTAGCTCTCATTATTATAAGTATGTGGATTTCTAAAGAAAAAAAAGGTTGTTCAATGATAATACGTGAAATTGTTGATGCAAAGCCAGAATTAATCAGAGCTTTAGGTTCAGGCAAAACCGGAAACTTACATTTATTTTAAACGTTTTGAGTTAGTTTCTGGCATATTCTTTAAGAAAACGTTGAGCTGGTAATTAACATGGCAAAATGTATAATAATAATAAATGTACTTACTTTTATCATTTTATTGGCATATGATACGATTTGTTATTGAATGTTTTGTATGCTTTTCATTGCAGTTACAATGGACCCGAACAGGCATAACGAATATCAAACGCATCATCATCAAACTTCCCACCCACTGCAACACCTGCAGCATCAGCATGTGCATGCGTATCCACAACATGCGGTGCATAACCACATACACCACCAACAACAACAGCAACAACCACCTGCAGCAGCACCACAACAACAACAACAACAACAGCAGCAGCAGCAGCAACAACAACAACACCTGCCACCTCATCCGCATTATCAAGCGAGTCAACAGTCAATCAATTACCACAGCGCACAGCCAGCGGATGCGGAACGCTCCCGTGCCGCCATTTATGTGTTGGGTGGACGTGCCGGAGGTGGAGCTGGTGCTGGTGGAGCAGCAGCATCTGTTATGCCGCCAACAGGTGCTGCCGCCTCGACATCTGGTGGCGATCCACATTTGCAATACTACACCTCCAATCGCGAACTGAGCGTCGGCAAGAGGTCCGTCGAGGCGACACCTCCACATCCCTGCTGGCAGTACAAGACGGTGCATGTCGGTGCATCCAGCCAGCCAACTGGCGCCGCGCCCGTGCCGCGACACCACAGCAGCACGCTGTACAATGCGCCCTACTGGCCGCCGCAGGATGAGAAGCAGCAGCAGCAGCAGCAGCAGTCGCAATCGCAGTCGCATTTGGTGCATTCGCAACAGCAGCCGCGTTTGGGCTACGGCAAGTCGCATGGCACAAGTGCAATCAGCAGCAGCGGTAGCGGGAATGGAAGCCAACGCTACTACGAGGACAGCGGTAAATACTCGGCGACAGTTGCGGGCGCCAAGCTGGTCAGCTATGCGCCCGAGCCAGCTGCTCGCTACGAGCCAATGGATCATGTGGTGAATCCCAGCAACGCGTTGCTGGGCACCACGGATCAACAGCCTAGTCCCAACTATGCGCGCAAGTGTCCGCAGCACTACGAGCCGCCAATCGAGCAGCGCAGCGCTGCGGCCCCTTCAACCATCAATCATCATCTGACGCCTGCGCAGCCTGCACAGCCTTCACAACAACAACAACAACAACTGCAGCAGCAGCAGCAGCAGCAGCAGCAGCCGCAGCAGCATCAGAGTCTGTACATGCCACCGAATTTTCAAAATACCGTGCACAATGCCATTGAAAAGTATGTGCGTGAGACGGCGCCGGCGCCCAATTTGGATTACAGACGCACGAGCGCCAGCTTCCCGCGGCCCACAGTCAATTATTATGCTGCAACAGGTGGCAGCGGCAGCGCCAGCAGCAGCAGCAGCGTTGCAAGCGCCAAATTGGAGCCGGAGCCGCCGGCACTGACGCGTGCGTCGCTCTATCATAATCCCTACAGCAATCCGGCCTCGCGTCTGGACCAGGAGCAGTCGTCGGCCGTGGTTGTTGCGGTCAGTTCACGTGATCCGTCGCCTGCCCTGGCGCATGCCTATCCCACCAAGTACGGCAAGCTATTGCCGCAGCAGCAGCATGGCACGCCGACGGCAACGGCGCCGCCGCCGCCGCCGCCGCCGCCGCTTCCCTTGGCCGCCGACGTACAAAGACGCAGTTCCTTTAGCTCGACGCCCAGCTATGCCTCGTATTATCATCACGGCACACCGTCCCCGGCCGCTGCCCAGGTGGCCTCGCCCACGCCGGGCCAGCAGCTATACAATCACACGCCGCCGCCCACGAGCGGCACAACAACCGCCTCGAATTACTCCACGCTGCAGGTGTATCCGCACGGGCCGGACATCTGTTGCCAGCCGCCGACGCCGTCGATGGCGACCAAATCAACTCTGCCGTCGGCTGCCAAGAAGAGCGCTGCCAACGTGAAGCCCAACTATCGTGCGCTGATCAACGACATGCTCAAGCGCAACACGGCCAGCGAGCAGGAGCTCAATCTGCAGATTATCAAGAAGACGCTGAAAATGGAGACGGCGGAAAGTCGTCTAGCCGCGACCACCGCCCGCCACTCGCCAGTCACAATTACAGTTCCTCCGTTACCTGCGCCCGTTATACAACAGGTGCCACTGCCACAGGTGCAGCCGCAATCGCAGCCTATGCCGTTGCCGTTGCCGTTGCCCAACCCGCCTGCCGCCCACTCACCGCTGGACCTGTCCATGCGCACAATCAAACAGACCGCCGACTCCACAGACTACAAATATCAGCGCACGCTGACGGAGTCGACGGCCACGGGCACGCCACAGGTGTCGGGCACAGGTCTGGGCCTGCCTCGCTTTGATATAACGCCAAACTTTGCGCGCAGCAACCGAACTGCGCCCGGCACGCCGGCAGCGGCGACGGCTGTGATACGCCAGGCGCCGGCAAGCACGGCTGCGGCGGCGGCAGCGGCAGCTGCCGTGACTGCCTCACCTGAGGCCACGCCCATGCTGATTAAGGCGGCGCAGCAGCTGCGTCCCAGCGTGCTGGAAACGAATCCCTTTGCCAAGCGACCGCAACTGCCGCCCGAGACGAGTATCAGGCCGTTGCCCACGCCCAGCACAACCGAACCAGGCACGAGCACGACGGGCACAGCGAGTGGCCACAACAGCAGCAACCCCAACTATCTGGGCCGCAAACGGCATTTGCAGGAGTACAATCAGGCGACGGCAGCGGCGGCGGCCGCAGCTGCGGCGGCAACAGCAGCAGCGGCAGCCAAGCAAACCCGGCTGGAAGCGCCGCCGGCAACTGGCTTGGTTGCCGCCTCTGTGCCGGTCATAGCCGTCAATGAGCAGGCCACGGTCGTCAAGCGATTGGAGCAGACATCGGGTAGCCGCATCATTGTGTGTCCACAGCCCAAACAGGAGCCGATGCTGGTGCCGAAGACGGAGCCACGCATACGCACCAAGGCGGAGCTGAAGGGATTCACCTTCACGCCGCCGGTGCTGGCTCTTGCTAGCTCGACAACAACAACGACTGCCGTTGCACCAACTGGAGCTGCTGAGTCCACAGCAGCTCCAGCAGCTGCTCTACCATCTGCGCCACATCCCAGTCAGCAGACAAATCACATACAAATCAAATTGGAGCCGGCGCCCACGCCGGAGCTCGAGCTGGAGGATGCCAGCGTGACGAGCTTCAACAGCAACAGCCTCTTGGACTGGGGCAGCACCTGCAACAATCTCGTCGAGCAGCTGCTGACCAAAGTGATGCCCGTGAAGACAAACTCCGTCCAATCAGCGACGTCAGCCAACGAAAGTGTTGCGTCTGCCATTCTGCCCACCAGCCGCATCAAGCTGGAGCTGAGCGAGGATGATCTGCCTGTGGCGCGGATACTGAAGCGTCAACCGTTGCCAGCGGATGCCGAGTCGGCGGCAACAACAACCACACAGGTGACCAACACGACGACCACGAATGGCAACGTATTCGGCGGAGCCCAGAAGAAGCTGAGCAAGTCGGACCGCGAGAAGAAGCGACTGATGCAGGAGCAGCGCATAGCGGCACGACTGGCTCCCACGGCGGGCCAGAGCAGCAGCTCCGAGAGCGACACCACGGAGCTGCACAGACGCAAAACGGCCAGGCAGAAGAAGCCGCTGATGCGCAAGGGCAAGCCGCGTCGCTCAGACGAAAAGGAGAAGCAACTGCAACAGCGGGAGCAGCAGAGCAGCGACGAGGAGCAGGAGCAGGATGGGGCCAACAGTTCCAGCGAGGCAAAGAGCTGCATCAAGAACCTGGTGAAGAAGACGAGGATAGCCAAGGCTAAGGAAAACAAAGTGCAATATACTAGTGGAAAGTGCAAAAGAAAGATGAGCGAAAAGCAACGCGAGAAGGAGCAGGAGCAGGAACCGGAGCTGGAGCAGGATGAGAAAAGCAGCTCGAGCAAGGCCAGCAATAGCGATGAGGAGCAGCAACAGCAGCAGGAGGAGCAAGACGATGAAGAAGAGGACGAAGAGGATGACGACGACGAGGAAGAGGACGCCAGGGAAGGGAATCAAGCCAAGCGTAAGCCAAAAACCTCATTAAAAACTCGCATAGCACCAAACACCATGACCAGATCCAAGCGCAAAAAGGAACTGGAACTGCAGCTAGCCAATAGCAAGGTCCTGCGCAACGAGAAAATCATACGGAACTCGACGACAAAGATCAAGCGCAAATATGTGCGCAAACTGGTGCCCGATGCCAAGAAGGAAATGATGATCACACGGCTGCGCAACAAGCGCGAGTCGGTCGTAGATCTGGCCCAGCTGAATGGACGCAAGTTGAAGGGCAATGCCAAGACTAACACGACCAACAACAACAGCAACAGCAAAGCGAATCCCTCGCCGCAGCAGCAGCTATTTCTGGAGGAATATCGTTACAAGCTGGCGCTGAAGATACCCCAACGCTTGATCTCCATCAACAAGCTGAACAAGCTGCCGCACGTGGCCGCCTCGTTGCCGGATCTGGAGCGCGGCCGTCATCTCACACAGGAAATGTCCTGCTTCAAGTCCACGCGAGGCCGCAAGCCGCGCTCCAAGCTGCAGCAGCAGCAATCGCAGCAACAGCAACAGCAGCAGCAGAAGGCGACGCCCAAGTCCATCATTGATGTGCTACATCTGCGCGTCACCAGCAATGGCAGCCAGCAGGGCAGCAAAAACGGCACCTCGCAGTTGTCGAACTGCGCCACGAGCCTGCAGAACTATAGCGAAGCCTCGCAGACCTCCGCCTCGAATTCGCTGTACGAGCAGCTGCAGGAGACGACGGAGCACAGTCTGGAGGACAGCACGGGCAAGCGGCATTTTAGCATCTTCGACACAAAGGTGCTGCAGAGCAAGACGCGTACGGAGTCCAAGCTGCAGCAGCGTCGCGAGATCATACGTGAGATCTTTGTGGGCACGGAGCGTCCGGCCTCGGCGCCGCCGGAGTGTGCACAGCAGCAGGCGGCGGGCGAGGGCGAAGGCTCCACATTGAGCTACCAGCAGTACGAGGATTTTCTGGAGCAAATGAACTGCATTGTCAGCGCCGACAACAACAAGCTGGCCAGGCACAGACTCAACGATGAGGCCAAGAAGAAGACAGATTCGCCCGGCATTGCCACAACCGCCGCACACTGTCCGCACAAGCGCAAGTATCTGCGGCGCAAGGGCAGCTCCGGCTTTGATTATATACGCAAGAAGAAGCGACCCACGCACCATCATAATACCAGCGCAAGCACCACCATCACGAGTACGCCCAATGCCACGGCCGGGGAGCAAACGACGCCGAGCCTTGGCGCCTCCTTGGCGGCCATGGACGCGGCGGAGTCGGCGGCGGCGGCGGATGAACGTCTCGATGATACGGACAGCACCATAGCGGGCAGCAGCTCCCATTTGCCGATCAAGATCAAAACCGAAATGGACGTGTACCGGGAGATACAGAAATGGGTGCTCAACAAGGGCGTCGGCCAGAGCACCATGCACAAGGCGGCGCGTCAGGGACTGATTGATGTGGTTGTCTATTGCCTGGATCGCATGGGCATGAATCCGGATCTGAAGGACAATGCCGGCTATACGCCGCTGCACGAGGCCTGCACCCAGGGTTGGCTAGAGATTGCCCGGATTCTATTGCAGTTCGGTGCCAATCACTCGGAAGCCGCCCAATCTGGCATTCGACCACTGCACGGCGCCATCGAGAATGATCACGAGGAGGTGGTGCGTCTACTATTATCCTATGGCGCTGATCCGTTGCTGGCAACGTACTCAGGTGAGCATGATCTTGATGTGTTCTCGTATCTCTCTCTCTTGCGTACAAAGCGATAGAGCTTTATTTACCTCTTCCTTTCAATGGTTCACTCTTCCTTAAAGCTACTGGGCTCTTTTATGTTAATGTCCCTCTTTTTAACAATCCAATCTATCTTTCTAGAACTATTTGCTATTTGATTATCTTTCTCTTCCAGTCTAACTCTCTTTAATAATTCTACAATCATGCTCTCTTTAACATGGATGGAGCTCTTATCTGTTACCTTGCGCTTCCATTCTGATTCTCTTTAATGAAGCTACAGATCTCTTACATGATATTTGATTATGTTTCTCTTCCAATCGACCTCTCTTCAATAAAATTACAAAAGTTTCTCTTCAAGCCTGCCTCTTTTTATTAAGTCTAAAGAACTCTTATCTGTCTTATCAAATTTGGCGCTCTCTTAAAACGTATTGAAACAACGTAACGCTCTCTTTTTCTAGGCCAAACCCCACTCATGTTAGCTTCAAGCAAATTGATGTGCGGCATCTTGAGCTCTCACCTCAGCGATGCACAAAGTGCGGCCGCTGACATAAAACCAATGCGATTTCCAGGACCCTGGCAGATATTTGGTAAGTACACTATTTCAATACACTGTAAAAGATCAATAAAATATCGATTTGTTTTTTTATGGTTATAGATAAGAAGGAAAACGGTTTTGATATATTCGATAATGTACCGAATACAGCATGTGATATGAGCAGAGCTCAAACTAGAGGAAGGCGAAGGCAAGAACGCGGACCTGACGACAACGAGAATCCGGCAAAGCCCAAAACCCACAGCACCAACAACAACAACCACAACAACCACAACAATAACAACAACAATATGAACGGACTATCACGGGAAGGTGGTGAGGAGAGTAAGGAAACAGTTAAACAAAATGGGGAGATGAGCGCAAAGACTGCAACAAAACCAATGACAACAACAATAACAACAACAACTGGAACAACATCAGCAACAACAATAGGAACAACAACAAAAACGGAAACAACAACGACTACGGTGAAAATGGAGCCTGGTGCGGGCTTTGAGGATACGAACAACAACAAAAACAACAATGATATTAACGTTGAGCAAAATGTAACGAGCGTTGTGAATGGCAAGAATGAGGTTAAACGGGAACCACAAGACGAGGACGATAATTTGAATATGAATACAAATATGAATATAAATGTAAATGTGAAGCATAACGAGTTGAATGAACACAATGATCACATTGATAACATTGATAACGATAATGATAATGGTAATGATGATGACGAGGACGAAGAGACGTTGGCGGACGAATTGAACGGTGATATTTTTAAATTTGAAGAGGCCGATGTGCCCTTGCCACCGCTGTACTTGCTCAAAGACGAGGGCAGTGATAAATGGGTACTCTTAAATGATTTGTGCAATTTACTTAAGGTTAAATCAAAGGATACGCTGCTTAACAAGGTAAGCTGGCCAATCGATTCGTCAGACAAATCAAATTCATTTAACATTTGATTTTATTTAACGCAGATCTGCCCGAATGGCCAGGCCCTGGCCAGCACACAGAAGCAGCTGCTGCGGGAGTTCAAAATCGATGACTTCCTGGAGCAGGCGACGTGCCTGCAGCTGCTGTGCGCCGGCGAGAAGCTGAACATGTTTAGCTCCTCGAAGGTTGTGCTCATCAGATACAACGACAGCGTCAAGAATTTGTTGGGCGTTAAAACAATTTTAATGAAATTTTAGAACGAGTTTGTCGTGAATTTTAAGGCATTAGAGAATACATGATAATGCACTAACTATTAGAGTGTGTGTCTACATATATATATATATAAATAATACTAATAGTATAGAATTTATATATATATATATATATTTTAGCCGATAATTTTAGTGGTCAGTTTTACGTCTTTGTCTTTGGAAGACAGTCTTTTATAAAAACAAAAAACAATTAGAACTAAGTGCAAAGTGATACAAAGGTGCTATACCCACACATTCAAAAAAAAAAATAAATAAAAGGAGAGAATATTATAAAACAAAAGAAGAGAAGGACAAACAAGAAAAATGAAAAAAGCAACGCGAATCGGTAGATGCCAAGTTTTGGCAGTCGGAGAGCACCCGATAAATCAGCTAATCGAAATCTAATATACCTAGGCCTAATTGTGTAATGTAATCTATGGTTTTTAATGAAACAAGCTAGCAAAAACAAAAAAAAAAAAAATGAAGAAAACAAAATATTAATTTAGATATTAATTAATGAAAATATAAAAGAATAGTCTTAAGTAAAGCAACAAAGGTGTATTTATGTATTATGTATTTTTAAATGAAATTATTACACATAACAAACAAAATTCTATATGAATATATATATCAATATATATATATATATACGTATGTATATATGTATATATTTGTATATATATTCATATTGATAAAACACTCCAGTGTGCATATGCTTACAAATATATGTTATTTATATCTATCGTAAATCAATTTTGCATATAGATTTGTAACTTTTTGATGTAATATTAAAGCTATAATAAGATCATATTCAACTAAAAGATAGCTAAAAATACTTTTTGGCAATTTATGTAACTATAAATATATATACATATATATATATATGTATATAATTGTAAGTGTATTGTATTGTAAATGAGAAACGGCAACAATGTTCAATGATTATATTTATAAAACAGAAACGTAATTTGTAATAACAAAAATAAACGGAAATGCAAACTATTTTCTTATCAATAAAATATTTGAAATTTTCGTGTTTTGAAGATCGTAAATCAAATCATGTTCAACTAATTACAAAGTAATTTCTTTAAAGTAAATGACATTTTCATCAATACGTATTTAAAGTTTGCAGTCCGTTAAAGCAGATGTTTTTCCATAAGAAAAAAATCTGATTTCAAAAGTTTATTAACGACCAGAATTTAAGGTCTGTACCTAATACAGGGTATTTAATCTTTTTGCTTTTGATTTTACTGAAAATCTAATTTTGCCCGCGCCACATAATTCGAAATTGCTTGTAAAATTGAAAACCGTTCAAGAAAAGCTCCCATAGATGGCGCTCAATAACAACTGAAAATTTTGCCCAATAGCTGGCGTTTGGAGGAAAAAGCTACACAGCCCTTACACACAGTTGCTTTGATGTGCAAAATTGCTTTAAGCTCAAAGCTTCTGACGCTGCTTGCCATATGATTGCCGTCCTTGTTCTTCAAATGCGCGTTTAAAGGCCAAGAATACTTTTGACGCTGTCGCTGCTGCCGCCTGCCTTTTACACGTCCTTGGCCCCGCGTCGCACTCGATCTGTCTATCTCTCTATGTGTGTGTGTGTGTGTTTTGCGTACTTGCGAGTGTGTGTGTGTGTATGCGTGTGTGCTTTCCTCTTCTTCTACCTACGCCAACAACTTTGCTACTCTTACTGTGTTCCCGTTTGTGTTGGCCTACAGACCTAATTTTTGCGTGTGTTGTGTGCTGTGCATAGTTTTCCCGAAAAAATCGGAATAAACAAATAGAAAGAAAGTAAAAGCAACTATATTCAAATAGCGTGGCGTGTGTCGGCGGCAGGGAAAGTGAAGTTTAAATCCCAAACGGTGTGAGTGTGAGCATTACGATTTCGAGAACAGCAATAACAACAAAAGCCACTAAAAACTTAAAAGCAAAATGAAAATGTGTGTGTGTATATGCGTGAGCAGCAGCAGCAGAAGCAGTCGCAGCTAAAGCATGTTCCAATAACGGTAGTGCAATTTTTGTAAAATTATCACATACCTAAATACATACATGCATATGTATGCACACGTTATGTATGCACATACATACATATTTTGTTCTGTCATAGAATTGGAGCAGAGCAGCTAAAACAACAACAAAATTAGTAGAGCGCCCCCTGCCAGCCAGCCACAGCAACAGCAACAACAAGTAAATGGTCGTAATTGTGTGTGTATAAGTGTATATATATATATATATGTATGTATGTACATAAGTGCGCGTTGTTCTCATGTGTTCGTTCGTGTGTAATAGGGAATTGCAATTTGTTGTTTTTGTAGGAAGAGCTTTTCGCTTGTTGCGCGTGCTCGTCTTTCTCGTCGTCTCGTTGTCGTTGTGCAAGAAGTTTTCGTCGTCTGGCTCGGCATAATTGCAATAAATTTGCTGTTTTTTGATACATAGAAGGAAGCAGCAAACGCCGACGCCGACGCCACCGTTGCCGCCATGCAAAAACAAATTCCATGTGCGAAAGACAACACTAAAAGCGAATAGCGAATAGGCAAAGCGAAAACGAAAAAAAAAAGAAAGAAAGAAATAGCAAGAGAATTGGCGCAGCGCAAATAATAAGAACATACACTAGCGACGGCAACAACAACAACAACAACAGCAACAGCAATAATAATAATAAGAGTGAGCGCGCAACTGTGTGCGTGAGTGCTGCGAAAAAAAAACACACACAAAATAAAATAAAATAAAAAAATATGCTGAAAAAGCTTTCGACGACGACTTCGCAGCTGCTGCTGGCGCAGGCGGAAACTGCATCAGTGCTGATCGTAGCGGGAACAGGGCTGCAGGGGCAACATGAATCACGATAGTTCTTCTTCTTTGTGCGAATAACCGTGTGAAGTGTACAAACAAATAGAGAAGGCAGGCGAAACGGGACAACAACAACAACAGCAATAATAGCACTTTTGCTTTCGGTCCCAACTGGTTTTAAGAACGACAAAAAGAAAAAGCACACCAAATCGAGCGCCCCAAGAGCCGCCGGAGTCGCAGCGCGTCTTTGTTGTGATCGCTGTCGGTGTAGCGGCGCATGCGCTACAGCGTCGCTGTCGCTGTCGACGTCAGAGCAACAGCAGCAGCAGCAGCAGCAGCTGCTGTTGCTATTTTATTTAGCATGAAAGGTACGTTTTTGCTTCATCGTTCTGTGCACTGGCACGCCCCTTACACTGTCCGCCCCTGTCAACTGTCCCGGCTCTTATGTCTAGTTGGGCTGAGCTTTTTTGGCATCAACTTTGCAGGCATCAACTGGCAAGGGTTAGTTTAACTGTAGCTAATTAAGATCTGTGCAAGTTACTTGAGGGCCTTCCAGTTGGAATTGCCAACCACTGGAAAACAACAGCAAATTTGTATAGATTAATGCTGATTGGATTTGTTGAGTGGTGAAAAAGGCACAACTGCAAGCTGGGATTCCAATTGGAGTAGATTTAACTGCAACTAAGCAATTGTTGGGCTTTACAGGTGCGAAAAGCGTAATTGCTAGCTATGTACTAAAAAGGAGTTACTAAATCAGAAATGTTAGACTTAAAGTAAAATCAAGTAATTTTCAGATTTAACAATAATGCACCTATTTATAAGCGAAGCTTTTAAAGCTGTGGCGCGTCTGTGAGTGCTTTAAAGCTTTTCGAAGTTGTGGGTATATGAGAACTTGACCTTGACCTACATTCCCTTTTGCTTGACTGACTTTCATAGAACCACATTGGGCAGCGTTTAAATTTAGCCTTATATCCCTTTTCCCTCCGGGCACATCTATTTGCTTTCCCTTTGCTGTTTAAGCGTTTGACACTTTGCTAACTTTGTTGTTGTTCGCTTGAACTTTTTGCAGCTGGAAGACAATTTGTGAGTAATTGCAACTACTAAAGCTACCTGCCAAACTGCAAACTGCAACAACAATTTAAGCATCACTGATAACTGTAAACAAAGAAAACAACACAAGTCAACGTACATCACAATACTACGCAACGTATTAACATGGATACCTTTAATGTACCTTTGCTGGCCGAGAGCAGCAGCAGCAGCAGCATTGCCAATTATGCGGCCAGCAACAACAACGATAGCAACAATCATCATCATCAACAGCATCAGCATCAGAATCATCATCATCACCAGCACCTGCAACAGCAACAGCAACAACAACAACAACAACAACAACAGCAGCTGCAGCAGCAGCAGCATCAGCAGCCAGTGTTGCCACATCATCATAAGGATCAGATGCTCGCCGCGGGCAGCACACCAATGTTGCCATTCATTAACTATGCCCAGCTGCAAAAGGACGCGCTGCCCAATTCCAATTCCAATCCGCCCATTGAGAACTTTAGTTCCTTGCAGGCCATCGACAACAGTCAATTGGATGGCGCCGTCTCCTTGAGCGGACTCTGTGAGCGCATCTTTGCCAGTCCCAATCCGCATAGTAATAGCAATCACAACAACAACAACAACAACAATGTGGATGTTAAAGGGTCAGCGCCATCTAGCGGCGGCAACGGGCCGCTTATACTAGAATCCGTCTCCATGTCATCATTTGCCAATATTCTGTTCAACAACAATCGCAGCAACAACAACAACAACAACAACAGCAGCCAGAACACGGGCAGCGTCGAGACCTTGAGCAGCATCGATCCGCTGTTGCTGCAGAAGACCAGCTCGGTGGAGTATCATCAGCTGAAGCCGTTGGAGAACGGAGCCGGCGCCGGAACAACGGCGGCCGTGGTGAGCACATCCGGTTTTCTCGGCTCCACAACGGCCCAGCTGCTGGACTTCGAGGTGGTGCCCAGCAGCAGCGACAAGGATGCGATTGTGGCTGGCAACAATGGGCTGGCTGATACAACAACTGCAACTGCAACAGCAACAGCAACTGCAACAGCAACAGCAACAGCTGCAACATCAACAAGCACTGCCAATCGAAGATCGCTGCACAGCATCGAGGAGCTGGCGGCAAGTTCCTGTGCTGCCGCCAAAACCAACAACAATACAACACAACAACAACAACAACAGCAGCAGCAACAGCAGCAACAACAGCAGCAGCAGCAGCAGCAGCAACAGCAACATCTTCAACAGCAGACGGGCAATCTGAGCGGCTCCAACATAAGCTCCGAGGATGAGTCCATGTCGGAGGATGAATTTGGTCTAGAGATTGACGATCAAGGGGGTAAGTAGACATATCCTTTATCCAATTTGAATAGTTTCGCATAAGTCCTAAGATGTTGGCAATATTCTGTTGTGTGTGTGTGCAACATGCAACATTGTTGCTGCAAGTGCAACAAAAATATTTAATCAAACAAAGCAAAATAAGACAAATAAATACATCAAAACAGAAGAGAACGTGAATAATCAAGTTAAAAAAAAAAAACAACAAATTCGGGAGAAAACAAAAATAATTAAAAAATAACAAAACATTTGAAAATATTTATTCATAAAAGAAATTTAAAAAAATACTAAAACAAGCAGTATTTTTCCAAAATAATAAATAATACCAAATAAAATGAAATCAAAATTAAAAACGAAGCATAATTCTAAAAAATTACAGATTACAATTCTTGAAACATAAACAAATTGAGGTAACTTTTATAAAAATCGAAATTCCTTTTTAATAATAAGAAAATATTAGAAAATATCAGAAATATATATCTTTGGCAAGCCGAAAATTTAATATCCTTGTAGGCATTTCCCATGCGAATAGTGCACAGAATTGCCATATCAAATCTTTCTCTTCCACCCATCTTTCATATATCAGCCACATTTTATAGCCTCTTCTAGGGTACTACTAGAACTAGAAACATATGATATAGTGCTCTGATATTATTAAGATTTTGCTTATATATATTTAGGGAACCTGGTAGAACTGCTAAATGTCGCTTTCAGTCAAGATATTTTGACAAACAAAAAATATATTCATTCAAAAGGCTACTCTTCGAACTATCATTCCCATTACAGCTATATGATATAGTGGTTCGAACCGGATGGTTCCGATATAAAATATACGGCCAGAAACAGCAAAGATAAACTTTAGCGAAGTTTCAATTTAATATGATAGTCTTAATATTGAGAGACTTGTTTGCGAACAAACAGAGACAAACGAATAACCAGACCGAAGGGCGTGTTAATATATCTCAATTCAGCTGTTGATGCAGATCGAGAATATATATAATTTTATAATACACTCCTCTACAAGGGTATACGAATGTATTTAAACTTAAGAAGCAAAACATCTCAGAATACTCCGAAAACTAGCTTTAACGGCTTTCGAGTAATGCCTATAAGCCCCCGTCTCAAAATCGATATTTATCGGTCTTCTGAAAATGGGAGGAGTTGTTGACAAATATCTTTAAATCTTCAATCTTAATATACTTCAAATTTGTAGAGTAGTTTTTCTAGTTTCCCAGCTCGACGCATTTATTTAGAGGGATATAGCTCGATCAGCTCAATTAATCGAACTGCTCAAGCATATATAGATAACGTTTTTTTTTTCAAGGTTCAAATTTCAATTTAAGACAAATGAGAATCGATATTTATCGAGACAACATATGGAACAGCGAACAGGGTATCGCTTGGTCGAGTGCTCTCAACGCGAGCCGCTTAATTTATTGCTCTCGTCTCGGCAGATGTCGCTGCGTCAGCAAACGCACGCACTTGCAAGTTGCAAGTACAACGTTAGTTATTGTTGCTGCTGCCTGCGGCTGACATTCAGCAATGTCAGGCGTCGCGTCGCCCACTTTGGCGACCTTCAATGCTGCATGTTGTGTGTGTGTGTGTGTGTGTGTGTGTGTGTGTGTGTGTGTGTGTGTGTGTGTGTGTGTGTGTGTGTGTGTGTGTGTGTGTGTGGAATACCCACAAGTGCAGGGGCGTCGCCGCAATCCTGAGCGTGTAGCTAAAATTGGAGCAAGGTCGTCGTCGTGCGTTAGAATTTGGGTCAAGCGTACGTTGCGCATTAATACCCCTTGAAAGTGGGCAAAAGATGGGCATTTACGACTATACACTTAAGCCTCTTCAGCAGCAGTTTCTCTCACGAAATACACAAACTTTTGCCTTTAATTTGTAGCATTTAAACTTGCATATTTACAGGGTATCTTCTAGTCGGGCCTGCTGCTCGAGTAGCGAGCTGTTTGTGCTGTTTTGTAAAATGCATTAGAGATTGGGCACAAGGATGCAAACGCACACACGCACAGACACCATACACACACATATACAGTGAAATTGCATAGAAATTGACGGTCACATTTGAATGTGTGCGTGTCTCTCTGTGTGTGTGTGAATGTGTGTGTGCATCAGCCACGGCAAGCGAAACCCGTCAGCCGCATCAAACGTTTGGCGCGTGTGTGCAGTATGCACGCTCTCTCCCTCTCTCTCCCTCCCTCCCTCTCACGCTCTTGCTCTTGTTCTCCTTTTCTGCCTCTGCCTCTGTCTCTGTCTCTGTCTGTGTTGGTCTGTCTATGCTTTGCACTCTCGAGCTTTATGTTCTGCCTCAGTTGCTTTAACGCCGCGTCGCCGCCCACTGCAACGCCGGCTGACATTGACACAGATAATTGCAATGTTTGCGACGCCGTCGCCGTCGCCGACGTTGACGTCAACGTCGCCGTTGACTGAGGCGTTCGATAACCGCGCTGCGTCTATTGCTTACCTCAAAGGATTTAAATGGGTCAAAGTCAGCCGCTTGTTGCTGCCGCTGCTGCTGCTGCTGCTGCTGCTGCACTTTGGAAATAGCTAACGAGGTCGTCGACGACGCAAATTGGGGCATGACATTGCAGGGGACACCGCATAGTTGTTGTTGTTGCAATTGTTGTTGCTGTTGTTGTTCTCCTCTGTGCTGTAAATTCATTACAAGGTTCTATGTCGAATGTTGCGTCTGAAGCGGCGCGACAGACGCTTTGTCAAGGACAACGTTGCATGTCCTTGCCGCTGCCATATTTGCTGTACGTTGCATGCCCCAAATTGGGGCAAGGTCGAACCATGCAAATTGTGGCTGCAACTTTGTGTGATTTAAGTCTGGCACGTGGCTGCAGCCTTAAAGTCTACGAAGGCAAATGCCACAAAACGGCTTTAAGATACTTTATGAGGATTATTTAAACAAGGATTCTAAAATTCGTCACAACCAGCAATTCTTATGGTTGATTAAATATGTATTTTACTTCAAATTAAAATAACTTGTTAACAATTTGTAGTTCTTCAGCTTAGCCATAGACATATCCTTCAGATTGATTATGATTAAGGACTTCTCGATAGTTTTTATTCTATAGCTTATTTGTTTAGGGATTATATTAAGGAAAATTCTAGAACTTATTCCTCGCAATACCCAATTATTTATATGCCCGATTAAAAATGTATTTAACTCTATATTAAAGTAATGTTGAGTCCCTCAGCTTAGCCATATCGTCCAGAATGGTCATTCGCATTGATTGCATTGTGGCCTATTCTATATATTCTATTCCATAGCTGATCTGTTATAAACGAGAATTCTAGAACTCTTCCATTGTTATACCTTATTATTCATATGATTGATTAAATATGTATTTTAGTCCACTTTGAAGTAATTGGCCAACAATTTGAAGTCCCCGAACTTAGCCATATCCTTCAACATAGTTATGATTGTGGGCTAATCTATATATTGTGTTCTAGAGCTGATCTATAGCGAGAATTCTAGAACACGTTCCTCGTATTATTAAGAGGTATTCATATGGTTAATTAAATATGTGTTTGATTCCACTTTGAAGTAATTGGCCAACAATTTGGAGTCCCCCAGCTTAGACATATCCTCCAGAATGGTCATTCACACTGTTTGCATTGTGGAGTATTCTCTTGTGTTCGGTATTCAGTTTCAAACCTCAAATGTAAACCGCAAATTGTAATTGAAATACAGTTGGCGTTAGTCAAGCGATCAGAAATATTGTAAATACCATCAAGGATGCAACATTGAAAAGTTTATTTAGTATACGTATTTATTAAATGCTATTGTGCAATGTTTATTATTCAGAGATTAGATAATGTTTCAAGGTGCAACGCCATTAAAGTCGTTCAATCGGAACAAAATAACAACAACCACAAAAAAAAATGAAAAGAGAATTAAAACAATAATAAAAACATTTACCGAACCTGCATTTTATTGGCTTGCAAATGTTAAGTGTTTGGCAAATTGTTTAATTAATTGTGATCAATCGAATTAAAAATTTAATTAGGTACAAAACACTCTAGTCGCATAGAACTTACCTTGGTCTAAATTGGCCCAGTATAAAATCGTTTCCATGAAAACTATTTGATAAACTTTGAACCAAGTACGGCTCAGATATGGATCCAGCTGGAGTTCCAATATAAGAAGAAGCTGCTTATGGTTCGGCTTAGCTGAGATTTAAGGTATTTGTTAGTCGTGCACTCCCGTCAAGGAAACCTCTTAGTGGCTTTTGCTAGCTATGAGCTATTTCTGTCGATAGAGGGCGCTCTGTAGCTTTCTAATGTGGCTAAGCTTAAAGTTATCGATATCGATAACAAAAAGTCATCGAATCGTATTCTCTGAGACGTTTCGTAAAGTAGAAGATTGGATTGCGGACTGCATTTCAAAGGATTAAGCTCTACAGATGAGTTCGTCTTAAGATCAATGCAGACATTTTAATTATTAATAATAATTTGAAAGGTTAGCTTTTATTATACGATTACGATTATTGTTTGTTTTAATTTATTTTTCATATTATTTTTTATCTATTTACTTTTGACATATGCAATTTCTCAAAACAGATTTGATTGCGGGTAATGCAATTTAAATTGTATTCAGTTATTTTTGCTGTCTGTCTCGCTCCCTCCCTCTCGCCCCCACTCTCTCTCGCTCTCTCTCTCTCTCTCTCTCTATCTCTCTCTCTGGGTGTCTGTCCGTTTGTCTTGTTGTTGCTGTTGACGATTTTCTCGCATTGCATTGCCCATTTTGTTGTTGACCTTAACTCAAAAATAGAAAAACTGCCATTGAGAGTTTGGCTGAGTGGCTGCCGTCTCGATGCGCCGACTGCGGCTTGGCGAGGGGCACGCGCTGCATGCGAGGGGTCTGTATGGAAAAGTGTGCTAATGGGTCGCCAGTTGACCCTGTGCCAGATTTCAAATGACGACGACGAAGACAACGACGGGAACGTACATGGAGACGGCGGTTGGGAATGGGAAGTTGGGGGCGGC